ACCACTCATCTATTTCCAGTCATTGGTATATTAAAAAAAATCAGGACTGGCAACTCATGTCTGAGGCTCTGGAGACATGGAAAAAGGAAAATATATTAATAGAGAATTTATCACATTTAAAGAAGAGAGGAGTTAAGCGCAAAGGGCAGGGGTAGGGGAGAATGGTTTAAAAAAAACTAAGGCAAAATACACTGTTACAGTTCAAACAACCTAGTAGTATACAGAAAAGTAGAAATGTACATGCAATGTAATATAATAGTAAGCAAAATACTAAGTGGGGTTAGCTAGGTAAGTGATTTTAGTAACTTAATAAACTTAATAACAAAAAGCTTTTTAAAGTTACTGAAATGAGGGGCGCCTGGGTGGCTCAGTCAGTTAAATGTATACCTTCAGCTCGGGTCATGATCCCGGGGTCCTGGGATGGGCCCCACCATCAGGATCGGCCCGAGTCATCGGGCTCCCTGCTCAGCGGGGAGTCTGCTTCTCCCTCTGCCCCTCCCCCTGCTCCTGCTCTCTCTCTCTCTCAAATAAATAAATAAAGCCTTTTAAAATAAGTAAAGTTACTGAAGTGATGGAGAAGTCATTGTTTCTTTTAAAATGAAAGAAAGAAATGATTTTTTTAAGAGGTAGCACGTTAGATTATACTCTTACATAAGAACATTTAGGTTTAACAAATTAAAATCTTTTTAAATCTCTGAAAATAGTATTCTCTAGTTTTTAAGTCAATAACTGGAGAATATGGAACATTATTCCATATACTCTTCAGTCTCACCATCAGGATATACCTTCTGATGGAGATGAATAAATCGTTCCGACATGTAAACCATACAAACCAGCAGCTATTTTAAGATGCCCTTGAAAGACAAAAGGCCCACACTCCAAAGGTCCAGCTTATTGATTTATCAACACTAGCACTACATTTCTGATTATCTGCCAAATGCAACTCATCCCACTCTCGTTTTAGCTCGTAATAACAGTATTTCGTTTCTAAAATCAGAGCAGCAAACAAAATGTTCCAACCAAATACAACTTTTCTGGCTCATGGATCCTGTTCTGTTCCACAGGAAAAGCACCCTTAAGGTCTCTATAAAGTACATTATGCCACATATTTGTGACACTGAATAAATTAATAAACCAAATTAACTGAACACTAAATAAATTAATAAAATGCGTAAACGTCTAGAGAACATAAAGATTAGTGATCATGTGAAACTAATTATGCTACTCTCTCCATGGTATAGGTCAATTTTGGTTGCTGAGCATTCACTTAACAATCATTTGCTGAGTTGTGACTCTGCTGTGACATGAAGGATAAAAAGACACACATGACAGAGTCCCTGCCCTCAAAGGAAGACCTGTCAGGTGGTTAGACGTGGATGCAGAAATAATGCAACACAATCACTGCTAACAGGGTTGTTATTGCCAAGATGCTATGAGTCCACAGAAGAAGAAATTCCAATGGTCTGTTTTGTTTTGAGGGGAGCACGAAGACTCCAGAACACTTCACACAGGTGAACACTAATGAGTTTAAGCCTGGGAAAACAATGAAGAAGCACTGGCCAAGCAGGAAGTAGGAGACAAGTTACCTTAGAACTCTGCTTAAAGCAAGCAGATATTTCAGTAAAGCCACTTCATTTCAATGTTGAGAAAATTTACAAGATTATATTAGCATGTTTAATCAAAAGGCACACAGCAGCTGCGTGGCAGAATTGAGACCAAAACCAAGATCCCCATGTTTTTATCCACTTCACCAGGACATTTAATAATGGTTAGACTTTATAATCTTACAAAAGGTATCATTCTAAAGTAAGATATTTTTTTTTTTAGGCCATACTGCTGAACTCCAAGTAGAACATGTATTGATTCTAAAGATCAACTAAATTCCCTGGTTTTACATCATATATTACCTTTACATTTATCAGGATGGTTTCCAAAATGCTAACATCAAAAGAGATAGCACTCTTACATTTTAGTTTTTAATAAAAATTCCTATTATATAATGCAAAAATTATTTACTCTTATGCTGTATTAGCAAAGGTGGGGGAAAACTGACATTTCACTGATATATATGTAACTGGATGGAGTGCAACTTTGGTACGACTTTTGTGAAGTATGGTTGGACGTAGTCAACACTGCAACACTGTTAATAACAGCCAAAGACTGGAAGCAATGTAAAAATTCCTCAAAAAACAAATAAATGAAGGTGCATCAATAAAGTAAGGTGTAATGAACAAACAGACATTCATGATAAACAATGAGGAAACTCTAGACAGTACTGACAGGGACCATTCTCCAAAACCTCAGAAACTTACTCTCTGAACCTCAGTGACTTCAAAGTACTGGTACCCCAGGACAGCCCAGCTAGGCAAGTAACAAGTTATCTTCATATTACTGACAACTGATCAAGCAAACTCATGGCAAAAATGTGGCCAAGTGGCCTTCCAAAACTACCAATTACATTGAGCTTGATAATACCATATTACAGTGGCCTCCAACTTGCAAAATATTTTATAACAACATTCTAACTGTAAGAATGAAAAGAGGTCTTACAGTGCTTAATAAAACTAATACAAGAAAAATCCAGGGGCACCTGGGTGGCTCAGTCGGTTAAGCATCTGCGTTTGGCTCAGGTCATGATCTCAGGGTCCTGGGATTGAGACCCAGGTTGGACTCCCTACTCAGGAGGGAATCTGCTTCTCCCTCTCCCTCTGCCCCTACCCCTGCTTATGCTCTCTCTCTCAAATAAATTATTTTTTAACAATAAAAATTATTTAAAAAAATAAATATTTTTTAAAAATAATATTTAAAAAAAGAAAAAGAAAAATCCACTTAAGCAAAAGCTCCAATATGACAAATGAGTTCAGCAAATCACAATTCTATTGGTCAAATTCATGATCTACATGTGAAGTCAGAGCCCAAGTGTAACACATTATAAAATCTCCAACTCACATTTCATAGATATAAATAAGCAAGTCATATACTTTGTCCTGATAATTTGAACTGAAATGGTTTGCTTTCTGTTTCAGAAAATTATTTAGTATTATTTCAGTAATAGCAAACTAATGTTAATACAACAATTCTTTTTGAGGATACTGAGTTCTTTGCTGATCTAATGAAAGCCCTGGTACTCCCTGAACCCCAAAAACCACCTAACACTTGACGTTAAAAAGCATGATCACTAGAAAAACTTTATTCAAACAAGCAGTAAATTATTTATTGGTAAACATTTGATATACATTTCATTCAGTAGATACTAGCAATACAATAACAAAGAAGGCAGACATGTTCCTCTGCCCTCTCAGAAAATAATACTGGGGACAGAGGGAGGGACAGACACAGCTACAAAAGAAATACACAGATGAACGACAATAATATACTGGGTGTTACAGAAGCACAGATGAGGCGTGCCCCAAACCCAGGCTTGGGAGAACAAGGTATCAGAGAATGTTTTCCAAAACAAATGATGTCCAACCTGCAGCCAAAATGGTATGTTCACACTGACCAAAAAATAAGAGGACAGAGAAAAAGAATGCTCCAGGCAGTCAAGTTAACATGGCAAAAGCCAAGAAGTGAGAGAGTACATAAACTGTTCAAGGAAGTGAAAAAGTTCAGTATGCAGGAAAGAGACGTAATGTATCAGGCCACAGAAATAAGAAGGAATCAGACAATGAAAGGCTTCCTAAATCATACTAAAAAGTTTAAACTTCAATCTAACAGAAAAATGATAATCAGATTTGTGCTTTAGAAACAGCCACTCTGACAGAAATGAAAAATAAGCAAGAGGTGCAAAGACTAGAGGCAGAGCCAGCTAAGATGAGCATTTCAGTAAAACACTGAAAGGCTGGATGGTAGCTGGACTGGTAGTGGCAAGTGAACAGAAGCAGACAAGAGCTAAGAGAGAAACGGGGAGTAAACAAGATTTGGTAATAAATTGGATGTGAGAAATAAGAGCAAGGGTAGAGTCAAGAATTAGTAAGCAAATAACTCAAAGCTAGAATACATGGATCTTGGGTTTCATCTACAGCCTAGATACAATGCCTAGGTACTAAATATATTTGTTAAATGAGTAAAGATTTCACATTTAGTGGCAAAAAGATTAAGAAAATAGTTTACACTCTAACAACAGGGAAAGCATATATTTGGCTATGATAAACATAGCTCTCATTATAATTAAAAAAAAAAAGCTACTTTAGTACAACATCTGTGTGGGGTAAACAAGACCAAGATACCTCAGACCACAAGGTAAGTGAGGAACAATATTCAAGGCCAAAGCACGCCTCAGCAGTTGCTAGAAACTGTGGATGTTACAAATTGCTGGAGCACTTCCTAAGTGTGGTATGGACCTGCTCATCTACTGCTGAGTGACTTTTCTACACATCATGTGACTTCTACACCAGAACCAAAATATCATCTGGCCCTGGCATAAAGACAGTCCCTGACTTTCAAGCACTGGAAACTTCACCAAGGCAGGGAGGGGCAGGGATCTGAGGTCAAGTGCTTCCTTCAACAGAGTTATTTCCACAACTTGCTCCCACCCAGATTTTACAGCTGGGATGATGTTCATCTCTAGAGGGCTTATCAACAAAATGCTGACTTCAGTTGTTTTTATATTAGCAAATATCAGAAACTAGCAGGCAAATACCACTCTTCAAAGAGATAACCAAAAAAAGTTACAATAAAAAATTAATATATACATACATTTATATTAAAAAAGTCATCAAATACTGAAGTTAGCAGAAATAACAGTTTTAAATAAAAGAAACACTGACATAATAAATGGCATCAGTTAAAGTCTGAAATATATTTAATCTAAAAAGTTCCACAATTTATATCTAATTTTCTAACAATTTATTCTAAAGGTTAGATAATTTGGTCAATATTCATCTAGGAAATATTTGTAAATTTATACCATTATCAAATTAATGAGCCTCCAAATATATACTACATTACTAATTCCAAAAATCCCAAGGAAGCAAAGATCACTATGATCAGTTCTTTACCTGCAGCTCCTTTGAGACTCGCTCTAGGTGATTAGTTATCTTCTTAATCAGATCACTGTACATCTGTTCTGAGTGCTGCTGGCAGACACATTTATACACACAACTGTGGAAAAAAACCAAAACACAAAAACCAAGTTAACAACGAAGCACTTCATTCAACCTAAGATGAACGCATACTTCGGATATACAGCCACTAGTCATCAAATGATTAATTCAGGCCTAAATAAAGTGACCAATCACAACTTTTTTTATTATCTGAGACAGAGACAGAGACAGAGAGAGAGAATGCATACACTCGAACAGGGGAGGAGCAGAGGGAGAGGATCTCAAGCAGACTCTGCACTGAGCAAGGAGCCCAACCACAGGGCTCGATCTCACAACCCTGAGATCATGATCTGAGCAGAAATTAAGAGTCAGACCCTTAACTGACTGAGCCGCCCAGGCACCCCAACCAATCATAACTTTTAAATAGAAATTTACATTGCCCCAATCAGTGCTCAGATGAAAGAGATACTACTACCAGCTGTAAATCCTTCTGAGTACTGCATTACACATTTTGTCAGTACTAGATAATCTACTATTGGGTGATAATCTGAAAATCTGACTACGATAACTACTTACAAACCAGCTTCTCTCTCATTCTTTCACTTCAACGAATGTCAAAATAAGGGAGAGAGTGATAATTAGCAATAACTCTAACTCACAAAAAGGTTTGTAATGTAACCTCTCTGTGCATCACTTGTGTGGAACGACACAATTGTCACCTCCTCCTTTGTGACTAGGCTGATCTCATGTCCCACCCCAGATCCTCACTAATTTGCTGCTTCCATGTACCAGGACCTGGGAAACAAAATAACCACAGATAGTTAGGACCGTGTGTTAATAAAAATCAACAGATTAAACTAGGGTCTCCGTGTGAGATAAAAAATATGTACTTCTGTGCCAGATACTTGTCATTCTTGTCTTTTTCACTGACCTCCAAAGTCTCTTCATTATGTATGGGGGGGGGGGTAGCAGGCTAAGATGGGAAGAAGTCTACCTGGACTTGAGAGCCAATTCTGAAGGACAAAGTATAAATCAAACCTCCAACCTCCAACTGCGGAATATACAAATAACCTACAGATCCTCACCTGACATAATAGTACGTGTGGACACATACTGCCATATTTCAAGCGTCATGAACCTTAATATACCCTCTCAAACCCAGGCAAATGATATCTTGACTTACCTGTATATCTGTTCATAGGATATGGGGATATAGTCACCAGGACTCTGGGTTAAAAGCTGATCTATGGCACCATCCAATTTTGGCCAGTATGTGCTCTTATAATCTTCAATAGTTATAACATTCATTACTAAAAGTAGAAAGTAAAATAAATATTACTACGTATCACATGTAAAGTAAACACAAATCACAGCATTTTGTGCTCTCCAATTCCTTTCACTTACTTTAATTTCTTTGACACTCTTATCACCTAAATACAACTCAATTACTATCCCATTTCAAAAAAACAAAACAGCAATCTTGTCAGGGATTTTAAAACAGCCATTAATTATGATGTAAAAAGGAATGACAATGAGTCTGTCCTTAAAAATAAAAACAAAACAAGCATCATTGGTTTCCTTTTCCAGTTATCTATTAACAGTGGCACATTCTCAAACACACACCCTCCGATATATATTGTCAATGAGGTGACAAGATGGCCTATCCATGAACCACAATAAAGTTCTAGGGAATTAGAACCCCAACAATCAACCTTTAGAGACACCCCTGAGAAAATCTACCTAACAGTAGGACTACGGGAATTAAAGTCCAAATGCTACCGTAACAAAAGAGGTTGCTAGAAACTTGCAGGGATCTTTGGCACCACCAGCACTTCCTGGACATGACTACAGCTCTGACTCAGATTCTACCTAGCTCACACTTGATAAGCCCAACAGAAAAATGTCAACAACTTGGGAGACTTACAATGAGGCTTACCTTATTCCTCCTGTCTGGCTCTTAGTCCTTCACTAAAGGTTCATAAAGTTTTTATAATAGCTGGTCCTAACAACTCTGAAATCCAGGCCAACAGCTGCTTCACAACAATGAAATGCTAATGGGGAAAAGAGCGACTACCCGCCTATCCTGGAGAAAAGAGCTATCCAAAGAGCCTAAAATACTTTTTTTTTTTAAGATTTTATTTTTATTTGAGAGGCAGGAGGGACAAGCAGAGCCGGAAGGGGGGCTTGATCCCACAACCCCAATATCATGATCCAAGCCAAAATCAAGAGTCAGAGGCTTCATCTACTTGAGCCACTCAGGTGCCCAATACCCTGTGTCTTATGAACCACCACTATCTCAGGAGATCGGAGCTAACAATTACTAGATCAGGTATTTTACTATGTATTTTACCAGAAACTGGGGAGCAAAGAGTTGACTTCCCCAAGAGTACATGGCTAATTACTGCCAGAAGTACCAGATAAAAAAAGCCTTTATCTAACACCTTTCTATCACATTACTGATTTCTAAATTCAGGTTCAGAATGTTTCTCATATGTATGGACCACCCCTGTCGTTGTTCAGTATTTTCTTTAAATCAATTCACTCTTTCTTACGTAAATTTATTCTAAAGGACACCTGGGGAATGAACTATTGATTCATAGAGCATGGAATAATCTTAAATGCATTTTGCCAACTGAAAGAATCAGACCAAAATGGCTACATTATTAGAAGATTCTCACTTATATGATGCTAATAAAGTCAAAACTATAAAGAGGAAAACAGACCGGGGGCTGGAAAGTGGGGAGGACTGTCTACAAAGGGTAGCTTGGGAAAATGAACTCTTGTGTAGAACCAGTCCTAGTGGATATAGCACCCCAGGCATTTGTCCCAAACCAACATAAGTATATACCATAAAAAAGTACATTTACTGTATGAAAATTTAAAAAAACAAAACAAAACCAAAAAATAAACCAGGATGTAGTAGTAAAGATAGAATGAAAATCTTGACAAATGAATTCCTGCACTGAAAGGAATGGAGAAGAAACATATGTTTTGACTACACATAAGGCTAAAAGCACAGAACTATATATGCATGTACAAAAACACACACAAAAGGATGGAGGAGGCCAGATCACAGAGGGCCTTAGGGGCCATTCCTTTACTCTGAGTAAGATGGGGACATTTGGAGGGTTTTGGGTGAAGTGATGTGATCTGACTTAGGTTTTCTATGGCTCATTCAGCTGCTATGTTAGGAGTGAGCAAAGTCAGGAGGCTGTGAGGTGATGGGGGTTGAACAAGGTGGCAGTAGTGGGGGTGAAAGAGGTCAGATTTGGAATAAATTTTAGAGGTTGAGCCAACCAGATCTGCTGATGGTTTGGATGGGAGACATGGATGACTTGGTTTGGATGGAGTCAAGGATGACTCCAAAGTTTGTGGCCTGAGCACCACAGGATGGGGCTGCTGTTTACTAGGCTGAGGAGGATGTAAGAGAAGCTTAGAATATTTCAAAGTCCAGTGGAAACTGTTGGTGCCCCATCCATTTACTCTGTCCAGAAAGGCCACTGTCAACACCAACCATTATTTGCCTCAGTGTTCTCTCTGGCTGTTAGAGTTGCTCTGACTGAAGGAGGGGCAGCTTGGAAGTTCTGAAGAATTAACAACCCCAGGAGCCTTCAAGTAAATGAGAATTCAGTATAAATATCCCAGTATCTCCCTTTTACTCTGGAGTAAGACAAGGCTGAGGTGCATGTGCTACACGGACTACCAGAGCTCCCCACTGGGCTTACACTCCTGTTGTCCACAGTGGTGACTTCTTTACTGGCTTCCTTACCTTTTCTGTCTCATGTCGCCACTCCCCTGCAGGTGCATCCTAGAATCACCCCCTTGTGCTTACAACTATCTGTACTTTAAAAAAAGGAGCGGGGGGAAGGAATCTATCAAAAATAGAAAAGCAGTATCATTTTCCATTAAACAAAAGGTGATACAGAAATAAATACAGTGTTATTATTAAATTCTAGCCGTGTCCTACTGCCTGAAGCTGGAGCTTGCTCTCCCTGTGAAAAATGGAGATTGGCCAATGTTGAGAAGTGTTACACACTAGCTCCAAAATACCATCTTTCTGCTTTTTGAAGGACTCAAAGAAAACTGAAAAAGAAAACTGGAAATAACTAAAAAGAACATCGCTTTCTCACTACGGGATTCTAGGTTACTGAATCTCCGATCAATCTATCACCTAAACCATATCACATATCTGCTCTACACCAAAAGTTGAAGTTTAAAGAAGGTAAGTGATATGCTCAGAAAGAAACCTTCAAGTACAGAAGCCCAGAATTAACATAATCCCATGGGCACCCAACTGCTGCTGCGTTCAATGAACTCTGCCTCTGCTGCAGTTGGAGAGCGTTCCTACTTCTCCAGCACAGGCTTTACACCTCAGCAAATTACCAAGACAAAGATTCAAAGGAGGAAAAAGAATCTAAAATGTAAAGTCCTGCAGCTGTAACTACAGAACAGAGTCCCACTACAGAGGTGGTAATTCATGTGGCATGATTTTTTGTTTTGTTTTTAATGTTATGCTTTTAAATATCTTTGAAAAGAGACTTTAAAACCAAAATGAAAAAGGCATTGATCACGGAAAATCTTAAAGCCTATTTCCACATGAAAAAAAGTCATATCTATTTCCACTCTACGTTTCCAAATATAAATATAATAAAAATCTATTTATACATATATTTTGCTTGAGAAATAATAGGTAGCCAATTCAGTTGACCTTAAATCCTACCTGTTGTAGACTGAATATTTGTGTCCCTTCCCCCAAAATTCATATGGTGAAATCTTAAACCTCCAATGTGATGGTGCTGGGTGCGGCCTTAGGGACGTGATTAGGTCACGGGAGTGAGATCCTCACAAATGGAATTAATGCCCCCAGAGAGCTTCCTCACCCCTTATGCCATGTAAAGACACAGCAAGAAGACAGTCTACTATGAACCAGGAAGCAGGTCCTTGCCAGACTCTGAATTTGCCAGCACCTTCATCTTGGACTTCCCAGCCTCCAGAACTGTAAAAAATAAGTTTCTGCTGTTTATAAGCCACTCAATCTCTGGTATTGTGATAACGGCTTGAATGGACTAAGATACTAGCTAATATAACTTTCTTCTAGGAAACCAGCCAATCTTCACCATAGTAGCAAAAGAATAGGAGAATATAGACAAGTATCAGAAGAACCACAGGTAGTCTGAAGAATGAACACACACTGGTATATACTCTTAGCCAAAGATTAGGAAGGTTTTTCATATCTGCAGTCAACACTTAAAATAACAATCCAAAAAACTTTAAGGTATTCGTATTTCCTTGCTAATGTCAACCCACCCGATTGAAAAATATACACATATATACAAAGCATGTGTGTGAATGTGTGTGGTGTGTAGTCCTGAATTTTAAAACTAGATCTTCTTGTTAGAGAAATGTAGTCAATCATTTTCAACTTTGTCCACAAAAAAGTTCAGACTGACAAAAAGAAACACAAGGCATGGAAACTAAACAAAAATGAAATTACTATTAAATTACTAAATTTTGGGGGTACCTGGGTGGCTCAGTCTGTTAGGTGTCTGCCTTTGGCTCAGGTCATGATCCCAGGTTCCTGGGATCAAGCCCTGCTTGGGCTCCCCGGCTCAGCAGGGAGCCTGCTTCTCTCTCTCTCCCTCTGCCCCTCCCCGCCAGCTCGTTTTCTCTCTCTCTCTCAAAGAAATAAATAAAATCTTAAAAAAAAATACTAAATTTTATCTAGATTAGATTTTCCAGCTTGAAAATAATGCACTTCTTTTCAAACTAAAGCCAACAAAGCCCAGGCCAGGAACACAGACGAATAAAGCAGGCCTAGTGTAAAAATAAAAAAGAACAATGAACACTACAAAGAACTGAAGGATGCAGTGCTCTCTGGAGACAGTCAAGTTCAAAAAAATGTTAAAACCCTAGTGTTGGCCTCAAAACATCATGCCATAAGACTTAAAGCTAGGAACACATAAGATAACAAGTTCATGCAGTCTAAGTCTTACTGAGAAAGTTGTTTAATTGACCTTTACTAAAATAAAGTGAAATAAAAAGTCTGAAACACATGGAATAGTTGAAATCTAAGGTTCAAGAAATATTAGCAGGTTACTAATAAATAAGAAACTATTAGAAACATATAATTTATACGAGGTAGGAGTAAATATGTTCAACTCTCATACTTTTTTATTCAAGTAATTTATCAAAACTTGACATTTATTACTGATCTCCCTCAAACTACACATAAGCCCCCTGGAGGAGAAATTTACTACTAGAGCCCCAACTCCAAAGAGTGCCTAGCACATGATAAGTACTCAATAACATA